ATAGTAACTGTACTGTTTGTAGAGGCTGTTATAAGGAAAAAACAATTGCTACAAGTTTGCTCTTATTAATAAAAAAATATTTAGGTTTCTGTAGCAATACAGGCAACAAGTCACATAGTAACCTTTGGTCTAATAGGTTTATTTTATAATTAGAAAAATTTCTAATAATATCATAGTTTAATATTGTATATCAAGTTATTATCTAATAATATAAACAAAACAAATGTCTATTACAAAAAAAAATATTTTTATTTATATTTGAAATTTTTTACTTTTTTTTTTTTTTACGAAATAATTTCATAAATTTAAAAATTCAAATTATATATAGGGTACTAATAACTATACTGTAAATATGGTTTTTAAAATTGAAATTAAATATTACAAAAAAATCAAATTTCGATTGTTAAAAACCTTTGATTTTAAATTAAAATCCAGTAATGGAATTTAATTAAGCTCATATTAGCATAACTATAACAATACTGTATCTAGAATAATTGAATCATTGAATATATTTAGCTAATATGTTATATAATTTTCTTTGAATTAATAAATACTTGGATTACAATAATCCAATTAGGATTTAAAAAAATCACATTACATACTATATATAGTACTTTCATATTATTTTTACGTTGTAATATTTGTTTACATGTTACTATACTTGTTCATATTGTTTTTTTTTGCAAGTTGTAATTTCTTTCATAGTAGTATGAATCAAGTTACTATATTTGTTTTCACAAGAACATTCTATTAAACAAGCATAGAAAATGCAGTCGTATATATAGAATTTAGTGGTACAAATAAAGTGTCACAAGAGCAAGTTATTATCAGTCCTGTATCTATAAAAAGGTGACCAAAGTTTCTACACATAATTCTTGCGCCTTCGCATCTTAGAATTACAATGTCTCGCTTAAACGCTCGAGTATTATTTTTGATTTCTTTTTTTATTGGATTGTTATTATTCGAGGTAAAAGGAGGCATGTATTATATTATCTATCCTTGTTTTTTTATCTTTTTTCTTCGAATTAATATTTATATTTATATTTTACCCGAAATCCAGATACCTTTACTATCATAGGTCCCGGCTTTACTACCGTAGAAATCGATCCCTCATCTCCCCCGTCTGAAGGCCCCGGAATTACAATTTATGGTCCTTTCACTACAATTATTGGTGAACCAGATTCCACTGAAGCTTCTGAAGTTCCTACTCCCACACCCGACGGAGCTTCTACTTCCACACCCGACGGAGCTTCTACTTCCACACCCGACGGAGCTTCTACTTCCACACCCGACGGAGCTTCTACTGCCACACCTGCACCACCTGTAACCTCTGGAACTATAAATCCTACATCTGTCGCAACATTAACTGCCACATCTAGTGCTTCCTCTGGGGTCTCATCTTCTGGTAGCTCTCCGACTAGTAGACCTTCGAGTTCACGAAGCGCTTCAAATTCCAATATTAGTACAAAACCAGCTTCTACGACAAGTCAAACTGCAACGAGTATTAGTGCATCAGGTATGCTTCGGGAAATATTTGTGATTATAATTAAATGAATAAATATATTCAAAATTAACTCAATTTTTTTTTTTTTTAGATTCTTATATAAAACCCGTGTTAAGCTTAATGTGTTCTTTGATCGCTATAATTTCTATTGGATTATTTTATTGAAGGTAGTTGGTGATATTGTTGTAGGTAAAAGCGGCGCTGGTATGTAACGCGCAATATCATGCTACTTCATCCTGTCGCGAACGACGGGAATTTCTAGAACAGTGTATAAAGAGAAACAAATCTAAACATGCAAAGAACATGTCCATGCATAAATGATGCGTCAATCGATAAATATAGGGAATTCTAATTCTAACTTTCGCGTTCCAAAAGTAAAATATAAACATTAAAAGGTATAAACTCCTACCAGTGTTTACAAACAATATTAAAATCTCACGTGACTATAAACTATGGATTTGGCTAAAAAGACTGAAAAATTTCAACAACTAGCAGAATTCAGTTATATATGAAGAAGTGTTAAAGTCAATACATCGACGAACCGGCCAAATCGTGACCCACATTAAGGGTTTAAACAAACAGAAACCTCCCTCATCGTCACGCGAAATCTATTGAGCCTTGACGCTGACTCGCCGACAACAATGTACATCAATCCTTTTTAGTGAGAAGATTTATCGCGATTGGGATTATTTTTATAATATTTTTATGAAGATGAGGCAGAGAAACGGTGGGAAAATTCGTGTGGAGTAGAATAACGAAAACATACGGCGCAAGAGCCTAGCATGTATAATTATGTTAACAATGCAGTAGCATTTGGATAGTTCCAATAAACTTTTACCTGTATCCGTTGTACGGGAAAAGTTCTAGTAACCAGTGCAAGTTTGAAAAGTATTGGTCCAAGGGTATAAATTTAGTGAGCGGCAGAAGAATCGACCAAATTATAAATATGCTTCAAGAGTTAGCCTAAGAAAACACCTCACCTCGCGATATTCCATGCATACGTTACGAGAAAAATTTTGTATTGTGGCTGTCATCAGTATGGATTTTCTGAACATTCTCATTATAAGTTCCATCTCCAATTTTGAACATACTGATTTAAGTAAATACGCACTGAATTTATCATAGTCAGTAATACACAATTTTAATAATTACAGTACTGTGCTGTATTCATTGTCACGGTGATCGGCTAACTGGTAGAATTTCCGCGTAACCATGATTAGAAATGTATTGGGAAAAGGGTTGATACTTAATTTTTCTTTTAGAATGTTTGATTTTCTCTTTAAATACACTTGGATTCTTATTTCGTTATTCAGTTTTTGTGTTGTGTTTTATAAAATTTTTGCAATACACCGTTTGAAACTTTAAATAAACTTGGAAATAAAGATAAGAGCATTATTAAACCTACAGTAAGTAAGATTTGTTTCTGTTACACGATCCGCTCCTTTATTCAATCACTAATTAATGAGAGTAAAGATCGCAATTCAAGCCTATTTGCTTTACCAACAATCCTCATTCATATAACATTATTATATCCTTGGTTTTTTTCCCTGATATGGTTGTATTATAACTTTTGTACAGTATTCCTGTTAGACAAAAAACTTTCCTTTGATTTCAATTCATAGAAGATTATTGGATATTTGCATGACTATAGTTGTCAAAACTTTTGGGATCTGGGATGGAAACACTGACATCCAACAATATCCAAATTTTTATATGGAAAATTTGAAAATTCGGAATTATAAAATGCACGAATTTTAATTATCTGTCTTATATATTATTATAAAGTTTTTATATATCCGCATATTTTAAAAACTTGTGCCTTGCCATCAATAAAATAAAAAAATGTTTAATAAGATTTTTTCGGTTAAGAGTTAAGATATATTTATTGTACTATAATTTAATTTGTTTTATTTTTAGATGAGTTAATAATTATTTCGAATGGTTTAAACATATTAAACATTTTTATTTAGGTAAGATATTTATTTTCTATTATATTGTAACGGTTCATCAGCGAACCTGGTGCTACGAATTAACTGAATTCACGCAAGGTAAGTATTCTAAAATATGTGAGGTGTGTTGATTTGGTTGAGAGTTAATTAATTAATTTATTTATTATCTTAAACGTCTGTCTTTATTAACATCCCGTTCTCTTTTATGCTTTGGTTATTTACATCATTAAGGGTGACATTCTACTAAATAAGAATAGCGATTATATTGCACAATTCCTTTTTACAATCCTTTCCCTCCTTCCCTACAATTAGATAATCATACACCACTATCCAGAAACAGGTTTTTCGTGGTGCCTATCGCGACAGGTCACGTGACTGAAGTCGTGTCCCAACCTATTCTGTTACAATCTTTAACTACATAAAATATTTTTTTAATTTATTAGATTTTTTTGCTAGTATGAATAATGAAATAAATAATAATGAAAATATAAATGAAAATATAATTTTAATTTCAGATTTTTATGTTCTAATAAATATCTATATTATTTAAATTTTAATTGAAATAATATAATTATAATAAAAAAATTCATACAGTAGTATTTGACAATACTATAATTATATTGATAATGAAAAAAAAGATATAAGGAAACAGTTTGTAATTATATTATAAAATATAAGATTAGGAGAGATTGCAATGTATAGAAAATTATATTATAATAAAATATAAAAAAAGTATATTTAAGAACATTTAGTTTAATTTATTGATTTTGAAAATATAAACTTAATTTATAAATTAAGTTAAAATAATTTTAATTAAATTACAAATTTTATAAAAAAAAATTAATATATTTGATAATATTATTATTTTTTCTTTTCAAAAAATTTTGTTTAATAAAAATATATAAATTAAAATTTTAATTTATTAAAAAATATTATTAATAAAAACTTTAAATTTTTTTACAATTGTAGTTTTATTTATAACAAGTTATTATAATTTAATTTATATTATTAATTAATAATTATTTAAAAAATTTTTTTAATATTTTTGAAAAAATAATTTGTTTAAAGATTTTAATAAATATATTTAAATTTTTGAAATAAATATATATATTTTTTTTTTTAAGGTTAAACGACATTAGATACAAATTTTTATTGGAATTCAATATTACTTATTACATCAAACATCCTTTGTAATACATGACTACAATTAAATGGTAGCCTATTAACCTTTTTTAGTTCATGTCCAACGAGACAGGTTATACTCTTAAAGTGGCCCACCTTATTGGCCTCTCAGTTTGATCAATACTATTAGTAACAAGGGTAAGAAAAATCTTGTCTTTACAAGTGAAAACCTTCCTGGCAGTCTCCATTTCAGCTTAATGGTCCTACTTTTTCTCCAATGGGCTACCGATCTGGATTGCACCAACTTCTAGCAGGTTATAGGGTTGTGTGAGTGATTAATCCAATATATCCTAGTTATATTCTTTCGTGCAACCTTGATCGACTAGGATTAACCTCTATATGGACAGATGGGATTGGTTAAGATGGAGTATAGCCCAGTCTGTACATCCAAATTTGACATGATGCTTGTATAACGTATTGTGGGATTTGACCGGAATTAGACCAGAAGTCTTTCTTCATACAATCCTTTCCTTATGTGGTCTGTTGCAACCCCATAACCACCAGAAAGGCCAGAAGTCACACCTTCATATAGTCTAATTAAGGAGGAATTGTGGTAAATTTTTGTAATCAGGTAGGTTTGAATCTTAGACCTTCACCTGGTGACCTATAAAGCTTTACCACTGAGCTATAAACCCATAAGTCCTTGAAATAAATATTTATTTTAAAATTATTATTTTTAGTATAATAAGTAATAAATGTTTTTTTAAATTATATTTGATATTATTAAAATATTAATAATTTCTTGAAATTTAAAATTAACTATACTATAATAAAAATATTATATATATATATATATATTATATAAATTAATAAAAATAATTAATAAGACTTATAAATTCATAATATAGTAGTAAAGCTTTATAGGTTACCAGAAGAAGAATTGAAATTTAAACTTATTTAATTATAAAAATTTACTATCTTTATAATTGGTTAATTGACTTCCAATTTATATTGCCTCTAATTAACCAAAAATCAATTTTTAAAATTCATTAAGCTGCATAAAAATAAGATCTTTAATCTTTCTGACAATTACAAGCTGAAAATAAATCAAAGTAAGAAAAATTTTATAAGGAAAAACTTCTGATTTAATTTCTATTACAAGCTCATAATAAAAATCCAAAAGAAGATTAATTCTAAGCTGATCTATTTCAATGTGAAGCTTATAAATTTATTACAGTCTTTATAGGTAAATTTATAAACATAGAAAAAAAATAAATTTCAGATATTATATATTACAAATAGTAAATATAAGCTTTCAAGACAAAATCAAAAATCTTTTTTTATTAATAAGAGCAAACTTGTAGCAATTGTTTTTTCCTTATAACAGCCTCTACAAACAGTACAGTTACTAT